AAATAGTAGTTCAATAAAATTTTGAATGCGGGTCAACAAACGAGATGACATGGCCTTTCACCATGACCCATCTCGAAAGGGTAAAGAGGCACGTAATATATACATACGAACTAGTGAAATGCAGGTTGAGAAAAGACCAGTACACTACCATAGTAAAAGAAGCTCATTTCATTGATCTCTACACTCATAAAAAAGAAAGTAAATAAATTTCAGAAATGCATCATCAATTAAGTAGAGGATCTTGAAGTACCGTATAAAACTTGCTACATATACATGTAACCTAGATGTTCCTGAAACTGATGATATTGAAAAATCATCTTCAGAAGAAGTAACTGTTCTGAGTTTCATGTTGATAAATCAGAATACGTCATAATCTGAACAACAAAAATTATTGTATCAATTACAGTTGAAATCTACATTTCATACGTGCTGTAATGAATTGGGTTCACCAATTACAGTTTTAACAGGTTGATGTACATTAAAATAGCTAAATTTACAAGTATGTGAAATGGTTTAAGCATAGTGACAGAATTAGAAGGATCCATCTCACACAGTGTTATTTTTTCAAAGCAATTGATGTAGTCTAAGTCATAACATAAGATTAAAACAGAGAGTTGGGCAATAAATCAATGTGACTAACTGCATATAAAACGTATTCACTTCTACAAGAGTAACTTTTCAGTTATTTGAGTCATCATTTAACCAATCAGTTATAAGAGATGTAATGAGAATAAGTAATTAAATCTAGAATTGTTTTCCAATTTTTGTATATCTTCTATTAGTTTCTTTTGTATGAAAGCAAAATTATTATGTTAGCAGAAATGGAAATATTTCTTTTGTGTTTAACTGGAATTAGTAAATTTTATTAAACAAATGTCTTTTTGGTCTTTTAAGTTATGCAGTGCTGACAGGTGCACATTTCTTTTTGCTATGTAAATGTTCTGCAAGTCCAATTAAGTCTTCATCAGATGCTAAGCTACATTAAGAATCAATAAAAATAGAAAAAACAAATGCAGTAACAAACATCTCCTGCCAGTTCTGTGATTATGGTCTGAGAAACATATTGTGAAACATTAATACATCAAATTTTTGTATAGTCATAAAAGAAGATCATTGAGAAACAAAGCCCATCAAAATTTTAACACATTTACCAGAACAAATATTATGCTTAAAGTCTAAAGTAAACACAAATAAATGTGAAATTACACAGTTGCAAGCAACAGATTACAGTCTAATTGATTGTAAGGGTAAACGTTAAATCTATTCATTTCTGGATTGTGTTGTAGAAAAGAAGAAACTGTCAATTTTTTATCCAGGAAGTCACCAAACTTTGTCAGAATATTTATGTTTACAGGGAAATCAAAAGCCAACATGTCCTGCTTTGATAAAATGTGGTCTACATGTGCATCTCTCTCTGTCTGCTGATTTTGGATATCTGGAATGTATTTATGAAAGATCAGCTTGTTTGCTGAGATTGGTGGTGCTACATTGTTTTCATTTAAGCTGATAGATGACATTTTTTGACAAAGCATTTTCTTTTAATACATGTTAGTATTAACCCATTAACTGTAGCAGGAGCAGCTCAGTTGCTGTTTTCTGACTCACAGATAAAACTGAGTTGCCATCAATCACAATTAAACGGTAATTTTTGTCATTCACATAGAATTATAGTTATATATGTGCGACTGACGGATATTTCCATCATTTGCAGCTGAACCATAGAACTTCAATGATGGAAATATCCGTCATCCGCAGTTAATGGGTTAATGAAGTAATTTTGGTGCTTTGGGTTATATTAATATTTATAGGTTTATTCTTCTTTTCTTTAAAATTCTAATTGAAAACTGTGATTGTTTCCATCCATTTCCATCCTTGTTTTCCTGATTGAAGTTATTAATATTTCTCTTTTTTTTCTTATTCTTCATTGAGATGACTTATAAGAGTTCGTTGAGCAGTAACTACTTTTATTAGAACACATATGCACACTTAAGAATTCTGTATAGATAATCCATAATAACTCTTCTCTTTAACGCAGGTGTATGGTGTATTGATAATGTATAATTGTTGCTTTCTTATGAGCTTCATCTTAATAAGATTGAATTCATTCATTTTTTTTAAAGTTAAGAAAACTTCTAGATAAAAAGATTATGAGTAAAAAGTCTTATTGTTGTGTATGCAGTATTATAATACCCATGAAATGTATGTACATTTCTAATACTTTGTTTCTAGGAGCGTCATGATGATAACTGGTTACTGGTCGATTCGAGGCCCTAACCAATTCATAACATTTGTAACCACTACTTGAAGCCATTGTTTCTTGTTTTATTTTGTATATAGTTTTGCTTGTACTACAGGTAAGCATCAAGATTTGACTGGAGTAAAAGTTCATGTGCTTGTCATACCACAAATAATGAATCCAAAAGTTTAGAACTTTAGGTGCTTTACAGTACACAAGCAAATACATGAACAGAGTATGCATGATGATTTACTTCCTGTCTGATTCTAAACATGTGAGTCAAAGAAGTATTCTTAATACATCAGCTTGGCTGAATTACTGCATGCATTTTGTTTTGAAATATAGAACTGACTTAATAATCTATTCCTGTTTGAATGTATAAGTGAAAAATCAAAACTTGCCACAAAGTAAAAAATTGGTTTAATTAATCCTATGATGTATGTCAGCTTCACAACAGTTATTAAACTTTGAAGGCTCTTAAGTCAAACCAGTTAATTGGTTTGAAAATTTTCAAACTTTGGCAACTCTACTTGTTACCATGTGCTTAAGTATGTCATTTATGAGTGTGTACCACGTTCCTGAATTAAGATTAACCATGCAATCTCAGTTGGGAAAGACCTTTGATTCCAAACTTGCATTAAAAATGACAGAAATTATACTTTTCATTCAGTTACCCACAACAATATATTGAATTTGTGAGTAAAAATCATTTCCAAATTTGATGTAACGTCTTTCTAAAACACATCTAGGATTGTTAACAGTGTCAGGGTATAGTATCAGAAGATGAGAGAATGCCATGATACACTGTATTTTCATTAGTGGAGAATATAGTGAAATTATTTGAGAACTGATTTTGAATATGTCAGGTTGTATGTTAAGTGGTCTTGAGGGAATTCTATGCACTAGAGTTAACAGGCCATGTAGAAGTTTGTCTGTTAGCTATGACAAGTTTCCTGTGGGTGACCCGAAAGTAGAAATGATACACCATAAAGGTGGATTAGGCTTATGTTTTGATAAGTTTTCTTATGTGAATGTGAAAAACTTTAAAAATATGAAGAAAATTTTGGAATGTGTCTAAATATTTAAGTATGTCTTGAACTTCAGTTTTTATCTTCAATATTGTATCTTGCTGAAGACTGAGATAGTGTTTTGTCACCGATTCTTTATTTTCCTTGTAAGTTGCTCTTCTAAGGATCACAAAAAACAGATTTTTGTTCAAAAATTTATCTTAAGTTCATTAATTGTGTTTCTTTTACAGGATATTTTCCACTCAGTTCTAATTATAATATATTGTGTTGAGTTAATATTAAAATTAAGAATGTCTCTAATGTGGTGAAGTCTTCTTGTCACACTCTAAATCACTACATATGTCAGTGAACTGGGGAAGAGCTATTTGATAATCAAAGGAGAAGTTATTGAGATAGGGGAATGGTAAATGAAGTTTACAGTTTCATCATTTCTACACACCAGTCTTATCTACATTATATTCTGATTTTGAATTTCTCTTGTCAAGAGAAGAATGTGGATCTTTTTTTGAAATTATTTATGATAACATTTGAAATAAAATAATTACTTTAT